TGAAAGGGATAGAGTAGTTTAGGGTATATCTACTCCCCTCGACTTAAAGAACCTCAAGGGGGCGCACAAGTTCTGTCAGTACAATTCACAATACAAAAATCCCATTTAACATTGCAGTTTAATATACTAAGCACAGCATAAAAATGTTTGAATCTTGGGGCTAAATTCTTCTAGCTCCGAGGTATACTGTCTATAATAATATCACACATCCAAACAATATGAAGTGGTACACTTATTTCCTTATTTCTATAGTTATAAGTTGACACTCTAATGAACATTATGTATTAAAGTTCATGTATGTTTATTGGGACAAGTTTCAACAATGTTACAAACATCAAAGGTATTATTCATATCCATTTCTTTATATAATGGTAATTATATTTATTTATTACAAATTAATAAATATTTATTTTATAAGTATTATATAATGGCTAATCATTATACTAATTATTTGATTCATTTAAAATATTTGCTCATTACGATTAATAATAAATAATTACTGACTAGTGCATAACAATAAAGTATTAAGGAATAATTATAATTAATAATTATAAAGTATAAATAAATTACTAACTACATCTATAGGTAGTAAATGAAAGTTGCATTAATTTCATTACACTAATTACAATTCATGGGATTATTTCGTAGCTATCTGCAGGCTTATCACTTTTGGGGTTCCGGCGGAGCACCGACAACCCCGAAGGGCGAACGCGGCGGCTGCCCGCTGTAACTAGGGATGTGTGTCGACCTCATGGGTGCAGTAGTCTGCCCTCGGCCTCCATCCCTTTTCCTTGTTCATCAATGGTGTACCTTGTGCGCCTTCCGTAGTCGGTTCTGGAAGTATTAAGGCAGTAAGGGGGAGCATGCAGTATGAACGTGACGGGCAAGGAACCTACCCCTTAAGGGTACTGCCGGAATTACTTTCTAAGAGGAGGGGCACATTTCCGGAACCGAACTGGGCAAGTGTCATTAATGGATAAAGCCAGGCTGATACCCTGTGGGAAAACTCTGAAAAGGAACACTGGCACAGGGGAAAGGAAGACAAAAAGATCTTCCAGGAAACTAGTCTGTAGCGAACTATGGTAACTACCAACCCGAGCAGAACTTTTGCGGGAAAAAACAAGACAACTAAAAAAGGTTGGGGATGGGGGGGGGGGGACAACGAAGTTCAGAGAGAACGGATCATTATAGGGAAGCTGAAGACGAGTACAGAAATCTAAAGGACGAGACTCAAGGACAGGTTTACGAAGAACGAAAGATTGGGGGAAGATGAACACCAGAGCTAACACAAGAAAAGTGCGAACAAAATTCAGAAGCGACCTGCAACGGGTCCGCCACAACAGTACCACCGAGGTGAAGGACCGGTGAAACATTAGGAACGAACTTGCCCGCTAGCTTCCGGATACGCTTCCAGATCTGGGGCACAGGAGTTTCCGATGTATTTGTTGAGACCCAACATTCACGTTTAGCCGTACGGATGGCCCTACGGGCCACCGCACTCTTTCCGAAACAAAAGATTCGCCCGTCTGCCGACGGCTGTGCCTCTTCCAGGCAGCACGCTTACAGCCCGAGCACAATCCGCATTCCACCAGGGAACGCACTTCCGCGGACCAACACAGGAAGAGCGAGGAATAGAGCTGAGGGCATCGTTGAACAGTCATGAAAAACGAGAGAGAGGCAGGCAGAAGGGAGAGGTCAGAGAGCAGCACTGAGGGTAAATGCGTTCAAGTCCACCTTAGCAAACCGACACCTAGGGAAGGAGAGAGAAGGGAGAAAAGAGAAAAAGGAACCAAGGATGGGGAAATTATCACTGCCATGGAGGTCATCAAGAATCTGCCACGTGAAATCTAAGTAACGAGAAGAAAACCACAATCATCAAGACAGGAAAGGGTAAGAGTCCCAGAGTCCAAGGCCTCACCAAAATTCAGGAGACAGGGAAGAACAGAGGATAAAGGGCTCAACAAGGCGACCTCGGGTATTCGTCACAACATCACCCAAAACACAATGACGACAATTTAAATCACTAAGCAGGAGCACAGGCTCCGGCAAGGACTCCAGGTGGTGTTTCAAATCAGGAACAGAAAGCGACACACTCGGAGGGGGGGGGGGGGGAGATAAATGGAACAAACTGTACCATTTCCCAAAAACAGATACGAGCTGCACAACAATGGAGACGCGAAAGAACAAATAACCGGACAAAGGGAACATGACCGCGAATCAAGACAGCACATGAATTAAGAGCCTGCAACGGGTCCCCACAACAGTACCACGGGAGGAGGAACGAATAGCCACGAAAACGACCAGGACGAGCACCAACCATCACCTCCTGGAGACACACACAAAGGGGCCAAAACCGCGAAATTATAACTTTGACTTCGAGGAAATTGCCGTAAAAACACATAGAACGTTCAATTCAAGAATATACTTCTACGAAACGAGAAAGACAACACAGAACAAGGAAGAAACAAAGGCGAAAGAGCAACACAGCCCGTTAAAGAATATCAGCCTCGGGATCAGGGGCTATGGGTAAACTGAGCAAAGACGGAGGGAAGGAAGCTGGAGAACAGACCAGAGGTGGGCGGCCGGGGTCCGGAGGAGGAAGAGAGGGGAGGGGTGGGGGGTAGATAGAGGGGAGCGCACCTCAGCAAGAACAGCAACCGAGAGGGAAGCAGGGGCCAAAGAAACCTCCATAGCAGGAACAGGGGGCGCAACCACTGAAATGGGAGGGGAAGGAGCAATACAGCCAAAAGTAGGGGCCCCAGGAAGAAAGCGAAGCCTTCTTACCCGCCGGGGAGGACGGAGGAGAGGAGCCAGGCTTACGCTTCTGACTAAAGAGACAGGTGTCCCAGCAACTAGGTACTGGGAAACGGATTCCAGCGTCTCTGGAGAAGCTGAACGAGAGCACACACGACGGCCGTTAGGAGAGCGATGGACATCAGCCTCCACCAACAGGCGGCGGGGAGACTCAATACATGGAGAGAAGGACGAGAAGGAGGATCGGAGGGAGACGAGGAAGAAGACACAGGAGACATGACAGTAAAAAAAAAAAAAAAAAAGGGGAACCCCAGACAGAACCAGGAGGGGCACCCTTTGGGACAGATCCAAAAGGAACAGAGGAGGGGGCAGTGGGCGTATCAGGGTCCAAGCCCTGGAAACGGTTGAGAGAGTGATGAAGGTGGGAAGGACGAGGAGAGGAAGAGCGCAACATTGCTTATAGATTTTTCTATATAATGAGAAAAACAATTTCAAAGTCAACACTTTTACACAACTTTATGATTCACATGTTAAGGCTCTTCACTTATATGAAAGCCCTCCCTATGAGCGCCCCCATATGCCTGTAGTAGTTGTCAAACTGCCACTTATTTCAGCACCTCAATGTCAACCTCGTACCATCACCCTCCAACTCCGTTATTCCACAACACCCACACACTTAACTATTGCATGCCGCAAATCTACTCCCTTCATCCATTGTTTTACATTTTTCAAACTAAAAAAAAATGCAACCAAATCCCGTCCACCACGCCCTATTGTCATCACGTAAATTTACTTACCTGGACCTCGAGTGGGTGCCGCTTCAATATTCACCACTGCGTTAAGCCCGGTACACTTGCCTTACTGCCAACGTTATTAACTACTTGCTTTAACACTTTGTAAGGTACGGTCAAACAGTTAATCGAACGACGTTATGAGTCTTTCGCGGTATTTTATATGCATACTCATCCGCTCTATTCAATTGCTATTGGGAAACGAACAATTGAATAATGTTATTACTTCCTACTTTGTGTTATTGCAGCCACTTATCCCTGCAACATGCAACACTTACTAAATTACATGTTAACTAAATTAACCTCATCGTTGATAATTTGGAAATGATTATATCCAAAACTACCACCAACACTAACGATTTTATTTCAACTTCATTAATAAATCTTTCACAACGTGAACAGTAATTTTTGCAAAACTAGCTTCCTGTGTCAAATTCCACAATTAACTACTCTGGCGCCTCACTGTGACATTCAAACAGCCACAAAAGAAACAATCACCTTTACACTGTAGTAAAGTGGCAAAACCTACAACCTATCCCCACGAAAATTCTACAAGAATACTCAGACACTTACTGCCAAGTGTTCACGAATAATGAAGTTGAAGCGTCTCACTGTTCAACTTCCACACAGCCCAGGGGTCCTGCCAATCAGTCCGGTATTACCTGCAACAAGCCAACAGTTACCTGATGCTACAATATAAATTATTCAATCATGCCTATACCAGACCTTTAATTGCAACCTGCACCTACTGAAAGGTAATTTGATGTAGCTGCTCATTTCAAATGCATATTTTAAAGCCATACATACAACCTGGATAGTAAACAGCTTTTGCAGCTGTTACTTGTGGGTTTACACCCTCTGACAAGCCTAATACTATTAATAAATATGTAGCGAGACTGAAGTTATGTGGTCGTCCAGTTTGAAATTTAAAAGACTAAAGAACCCCTGAACACGATTTAACGGCTTTGTGCGGTATCCTAATAAAATATTAACATGCCTCTTTAACTAGGTATTCAATAACTGCTTTAAACTCATATCTGCTAACTCAAGTAGCACATCTAGCCAAACCTCGACATCTGCAACCACCACCTGCTCGGCATCGTCTAAGACTTGATTCATCGGTCCACCACTAGTCCCATCACAACGGTAGTCTCCACATTCCTACATCACCAGTAGGCTCCTTTCAAGCGATGCCTCTTCTTCCAACCATTACCTCATTCACTTAATAGCCCTGAAAATAATAACAGCACAAATACATATTTATACATTTTTTTAGTACTGATTAGGGATCAGGACTAAAATTAACTGCCTATATATATATATATATCCCCAAAGAGGGTATATACGGCAGCTGTAACATAGATATTTGATATTTTTGACCCTATGTATTGGCGTTTTGAGGGTGTACAAAATGAGTAAGCTAGGGGGTCTGTCAGCCCTAGCGACCCCAAAGGGTAACGGGGTACCAGCTCAGAGTAACATCACGCCCTAACACTAACTTGTACACCACAACTATGCCAATACTGGGGTCAAAATAACGTTCCGTCGAGCCTCACCCACCAAGTCGACTCAACAGCCAATCACGTTTCGATTTCTCACTTGACGTCACATTCTCGCAAGCTCTACTCTCATTGGTCGGCTCCACCTAATTGGATACTCTAGTAATTCATGACAATTATTTATGCAAACTTAAATATATACACCAAAATGTATACCCAATTTATGAGAAACATACATATACCAAATGTATGAGAAACAATGTTTGACTTTACACTCACAAATGATGACTTTCGATTAATTAGTACTAAATAAATATTATTACATTGATTCAATAATATTCATACTTATTCAAGCTCTAAGTACAGTACAGTACCGTACGCTACGATACATTACAGTACTGTACAGTACAGTTCCCTACCGTACAAGACAGTACAGTACTATACATTACATTACACTACAGTACTGTATGATACAGAACACCGAAGGGCACAGTACTCTACAGTACAATACAGAACAGTACAGTACTGTATAGTACACTACACTAAAGTGGAGTACAGTACACTACAAGGTACATTACCGTACACTACACTACAATGTACAGTACAGTACCCTACACAACCGTACAGGGCACTCAAGTACAGTACTGAATACTACACACAAGTTCAGTACCGTACAGTACACTACAATATGCTACACAATAAAACAGTATAATGCAGTGCAGTACAGTATAATACAGTACGGTACAGTGCAGTACACCAAAATGCACTACAGACCAGTACGGTACACTATAGGACACTACCGTACACTCACACTTCGTTACTTCCCTTTCAAATCTACCAACGGCATCACCATTAAAAAATTTCCTACTTAAATAACTGTTTCTTGAACCTAACAACGCGTAATAATCACAAATTAAACGTGAGATGGGGAGGGACGAGATTCCTGCAATGGCTGTTTGGCAACTGACGCTAGTATTTATTTATTTATATACAAGGAGGTTACAATCGTGTAAAGCCACTAGTACGCGCTACTATCACTAACGACCATTGTTATTGCATTATTACCTTTCAACCGGTTCAGTTTCCTCTCTAAACAACACCAATGTATATTTATATACGCGATTTAAGCCTTACATGCACATTGCCACTAGTAATAACGATTATTTAACATGCAATCAAATAGTGTTTTACACATGCAAAGTCATCAGTCATTTTCAATAATATAGATCTTGTGCGTTACACTTTCATCATTTGAACTCTTGTGAGTCCTTTTTTAGAGAATGACGCTATATTATGCTATGTTAAGCTAAGCAAGCTACGCTACACTGGACTAGGCTAGGGTATGCTAGGTAAGGTTAGATACAGTACCGTAAAGTACAGGGTACAATACATTGAAGTACACAACATTATAGTACACTACCCTACAATACATTACAGTACCGTTCACTAGAGTAAAGTACAATACAGTATAGGACAGTGCACCAAAGGCTACAGTACAGGATACAATACAGTACATTTCAGTACAGGGTGCAGTACATTACAGAACACTATAGTATAGTACAGCATAGTGCAGACCAGTACACTACAATACATTACAGGAAAGTCAAATACAATACAGAGTATAATACAAAGTATTGTACTGATTTGTACATACAAGTACAGTGAAAGATTTTCTACTGGAAATTCCCCTAAAAATCCTATTACAAATTCCCCTAGAAATCCAACTAAACATTCCCAAAGAATTCCGACTATAAATTCCTCTAGAAATCCTACTACAAATTACCCTACAAATCCTACAACAAATTCCCAAAGAAATCCTACTAGAAATTCCCATGCAAATCCTAATAGAAACTCCTACAAATCCTACTACGATTCCCCTAAAATCATACTCAAAAACACTTAAATTTTACTACTAATCCTACTGAGAATCCAATGCAAATCCTACTAAAAATCCCCTAAAATTCCTACTAGAAATACTATTAGGAATCATAATATAAATCACCTATAAATCCTACTACAAATCTAAATCATTTGAGCAATCCTACAAAAAATCATACTAGAAAAACTATTTTGATTCCTACTACAATTCAACTATCTATCCTACAAGGAATCTAACAAAATCCCCTAAAAATTATACTAGAAATTACCTTAAAATACTATTACAAATCCTACTATAAATCCTAATATTTTCTTCATTATTTATTAATATTCTTCAATCTATAGAAATGAAAATGTTCGTTTGTGCATAACCGATAATCAACTTAAGTTCTTTACCAATTGGCTTGAAATTTTGACACATCCTTGCCTTTGAGTAGCCGCGTCTTTTTTATATACCTACTATATAGATGCCACACCTGTGACAGGTAAAACTATGATTTTCTTCAAAACTCCATCTTTTGCATGTCAAAGCTACACACATACTCTACTAAATGTTACAATTCCATTTCAATGTTTCTGATTTGCAATAATTGGATTTTACATACATTCGGATCTATTTGCATTTCAATTTCATTATTTTCTGTGAATTGCATTGGAATTGAGCCGTGTTGTTTACCATACCAATCATTTCATGATTATAATTCATCTTTTCATTCCTTTTTTTCACTGCAATTCTTATATTTCACTTATGGGAACATCAGATTGCGTTATGTTCCAAATTTTCTGATGGGAACATCACACCATTTGGGAACGCATCGGACGAGGGAGTGGGGAATGGTTGGGAGGCCCAGGAGACGGTGAGGGGGAAATGGTGGGAACAAGGAAGGTTGCTCTGGCTCAGCAACGCGTTGCCAGCTACTGTTAGTATTGAATAATATTGTTCAATATTTATATTCTTCAATATTATCGATTATAATATATTATCGATATATTTCAATATTATTCATAAATATTGATTATTATTTACTCTATTAGTCAATAATATCCATTATTCAATATTTTCTATTATGCAATAATATTAACTATTAGTCAATATTCGACATTTTTGAGTTACGATTATTCAATGTCATTTAATATTCTATAATACTAAATAATTTTGATAGGGGGATTTGTACGTTAGCTGTACCTAACTTCTGCCACTTTGCTTCAGTTCTGTTCTCTTCAGATAGCAAAATATGCAACAACCTGCGAGACGCTTGGTGCTCACATCTCAAGTCCACCCACCGACCCATGCCAGAGTAGGTCCAGGAACAGTCACGAGGTAGTGTCCAGCCAGGACCCTCTTCCCAATGTCAGACCAGGACATGTTACCTCGCCCCACGACTATATGCAACTGAGTTTTCAGTTGCATATAGTCCTGGGGACCATTCAGGCTTGTTACCATTTGTGTGCCCCCAAAGAATGAGGCGATTACATAAAATCCTATGCCCAAGCTTACCATCTGAGTGCCGGCAGGGGGAAGTGCTTCAAATAGCTTCGGCTATCACTTCCTTCTGTCCGGTCATGATGGTCCGAGTTTTCATTTATTTATATAATATTACACACGTAGGTATAGAGCTAGGATAATTATTCATTTAGAATAATTACCCGAACTATATACATATAATAAATATCCAACGTATTCTAAAATTATTATAGATTACCTATATATTATATAATCTGGATATGCATCTCAAATATATATAATGATCTAGATATAATCGAATATTTTATTGTAATTTTTTTTATGTATTGTACAAAATATGTACTGAACCATATGCCACGAGATTTCACTACAAATGAATGCCTACAGTCCATGTACATATACAAAACATAAAACTATGTATTACAATCTTGGTCGTAACTCCAAGTAACAAACCACACACTTATTACTGTGCACACAACTGTTGAACATTACTAAAGGTTATTAACACTACTATGTTTGCGTATATTATTTAATGTGTTCTATTAGTCTGCTGTTTCAGACTTATCAAAACTACATTCAAAATTCCCAACTTGTACATTACAATTCAACTAATACAATAATGAAAATGTGATGCTGACAGTACACTCCTGTAATAATGGCACATATCACTATCTCCTAACTGATAAATATTAAAGGAATACCTTTGACATACAATTCCACAGTGAGGTCATAGGTCCCTTTACAAATCTATGCATAAGTATCCAATGGTAAAACAATATATAAAATTGAAGGCAAACATATCCATGGACACCAGTTAGTCAACAGACATGGCATCATCCTTATCTTGATCCTTGGTTTTATCAGAAACCTCCTTCCTTCTTACTGCCTTCCTCTTTACCTTCTTTCCCAAGGCCTGAAAAAAAATAAAATCTATGAATGATCGATTAATCACAGTTAATATGAAAACAATCCTTAAGAATAGTTAAACGAATCTTTGACTTAAACGAACAACATTGAATATTCAACTGTACGAGTCTCTGTTGTGGTCCCATCTGGCCTACTGTGTCCTAATATGGAAACTTCACTTCAAAAACACATCAATGATTTTCCGCTTTGGAGAAACTTCAAGACAGCAACAACAATCATGCCAGAACTTGTTCAACTGTCACTACCACGAATCTTTGAAGGACTAACACTATAAATGTTTAAATTGTTATAGATTTTGATAGATTACCCTATAAATTTTGTTAGAAATTACCTACTTAATATTATCTGTTGGATTAAGGCCCTGCCCAAAGCGATATGCGTACTAGTGGCTTTACAAGAATGTAAACACATCATGCCGTGTACTCTCAGAAACCCAATGTAACTTGTAGTTATATAAATAACAGCCGAGGCCTTTGTAATACTATTTTAATGCATTGCTTTATACTTTGTAATGTATTTTAGAGAAGTGCTTTGTGTTTATAACCTCCAACTTGGTCAGTATTACAAATTAAAAAAAAAAATTATAATACTGACCAAATTGGAGGCTATTAATACAGACCACTTCTCTAAAATGCCATATTTGACACAGACAGGCTGGACAACAGCTTCAAGCTCAACAAGCCACAATGTAACACAGAAAATAGATGTGTTGTTCCCCCCATTGGGTTATTAACCCATGAACCCGCTTAACCACTCAAGTCGTAAA